CACAATTTCAATTTGGTGGATTTTAGACGTACACAAAATAAACATAGCCTAAACGCTGCGAGGACAAATCTCATTTAGAGGTTCGTAAAACTTTGGAGAAAAAAATGAGTAACAAACTGAACAAACTGAAGTGAGATTGTGTGTTAAACTAATGCAGCTATAATTATGGAACAAGAACTCCAAACAAACAAAAACATATTACCTTTTTACCTTTATCAGTCGGTCTTTAATTATAAATGTTTTACAAATAAAAACTACAATACAAACCAGATACTTATTTTTTTAACGGCAATTTAGTTGATTCGCAGTCTTCTCCAAGCGTGTTTTGATAGAGAAAAGAAAACAGAATATTCACATTCGCATCCTCCAGTATCGACAGTGGATATTCGCAATTTGCGTTCGCTAACGCCCTGAGCTGTAAATTGATACATTACATTCTTCTTCCGGAAGTGTAACGAGATTATAATCAAACGAAATGGTACTCTTAAGAATAATCCAGAGAATATCCTGTTTTTTGTTACGCTATGTAAAAAAGTTCAGTTACATAATCTCGGTTTGAGATACTGACTGGTTTTATCCAAGGGATGCAAAATATACATATATAATACAATTTGTGATTGGGCATGTCAATTTACAATGTAATTCCAAATGAGGTAATTATAAAACAGTATGGAAGGTACAGAAATACATCCAAATGTTATTCCAATATTATCCAGTAATAGTAAATTCCGGAGCATTGTAAAATCCATACCAATTTTTCAGAGACCACTTTTTCAATAAACTGCAGGTCTATATTGAATAAATGGTAGACAGCTTTACTAAAACATCATGATTGTTGAGTTACGTGCGGCTCTAAAATGCACATAATTAAATGCATGCTGCATCTAACGGCATACAAAACAAACTAAAGCATGCAGCAAATTTAAAAGCGGCTGTTTTTATCTACGAACTAGCGTTGTATGGTTATTTCCAGAATTTAAATGAGAATATTTTGAAGCTTAAAATGGCCAGTAATTAAAATCCAGAGCTTCCACTTCCACTCTCTCGTTCAAAAAAGCCGTCCCTTGTTTGATCAGTTTCAACACATAATGTTGCTCAGTCAGCAGACCGTAATAATCAAGGCATTCTAGAGAAAATCGAATGAGATTCCGGGGGAAATTGTAAGCGGACAAAATATCTGATAAAAAAGTGCAAAGGGTTTTTTTTTGGCTTTAGGACCGAGCCATGCAGCCAGAAACTAGGTTGGTAAATATATATATATATATATATCTAATTATGGACAAACACACGACGTCACAACATCCATGGCGAAGGCGAGACTCGAACTCGCGGCCCGGCGGGCCGGCTGATCAGTAGCACGACACTCAGACCCACGTGCAAAGGGTTAGTGGACGAGAATTGAGTCGCGCCTGGAAAAAAGGTACCGCTTCAATTGCTTTTTTCCGAAAAATGGGGTTAAAAATGACTTTATAGGGGTTTTATCGCTAAGAGAATCAAGCTTGGTACCTTTTTCAGTCCGAAAATATTCACATATTAAATTTTTGAGCAAAGAATTTTCAAGTTATTGCAATAAATCCGCTAAAAATCGGACAATTCATTATTTGCCTTGATCATTCATATTCGCACACACACAACCTCTAACTCTGTGAGGAATATGTGCCCTGACAGTTTATAAAGGCACAATATATTCTAAATCCATATATCTTAGATTTTTGTTTTTATTGCAGCTTTTTTGAAAAAAATACTCTTTATTAAAATATATTCTTCAGCTGAGGGAAGTCCTGATTGTCGTCAGGTGCTCCTTTTGTATATAAGGTGTAGCATGATGGTATAACAGATATTTTCTTCAACAAATCGAAATGCACATTTTATATAATAAGACAGATTTCGTCCAGCCGGCCAACAACAGAGCTATTTTATGGTTATTAGCAATAATCAGTACGATCTAGGTCGCTAAGTAGGACAACAAACCAGGTCCACTAGACCGGACTGATGAGCACAACACATAACCGTCCAACTGTATATCAGTCATAACATTACCACAACCTCTTTACCACTGCACCCTTAGAGACGAGACTCCTGAAAAAACAAAGGTGTACTGCCAGTCCGATAAGAATACTTTTCTATCATCACGGGTAAAATATGGTGCGCAGCATTTACCAGTTTTTAGGATCACATGGTGTCACCAAGATGTCACTTCCATCACAAACCTAGATATGCGAGATGGCTTTTGTGTATGTACACTTCGCTTGTGCATATATTTAGTTTATTTGAATGGAAGCAAATTGCAAACAACAGGTCATTAGTATTAGCGTAGCCCGACATCAAAATACCGACTAACATGGCTATGGGTGTAATGAATGCAAACTTAAAGCTATTATACACCTTCGTACCTTATGGTATATCTATTTCACACACGCCCATTGGGACTATATTTACAATAACTATTAGTGCATGTCTTTGTACACACTTGTCCTGGTATAATGAGAGTAACAATGCATAGCGATTTTGAGCTGAGAACGAACGTTGACTTTGTTCAAAGGTAAACCATGCAATAAACCAGTACCGTTAGCACACCTACTATAAAAAATAAAAACGAGTTAGTCATCCAGTTTCTCAAAAGTCGGTCTTGGCACATTCTTCTCGGGTTCATTGTTGGAAGCATGAGCGTACCGGGCCTATTTGGTTCATGGGAAAATGATACAAAAAATTATAATCCGTCATTAAGAACTTGCGTGACACAAATCGCGTGCCGAAATGGGCTCACATTTCTATAGAAGACTTTATATATATATATATATATATATATATATATATATATATGCGTAGAAAAAGGAGAATACTTTTATTATATACTAAGTGACATATAAATCCGAACACCCAGTTTAAATGGTTTTATTTTAATAAAAGTTGGTGAATGTATTTATCTTACTGTAAATAACAAGTGAAAAAATTTTCAGCCTTATCAGTTGGACATTCCGGTTTTTATACTGCTTTTTTTTAATTCACTAACGCTCTAAAAATTAATATTTCAGCCGCAGTAAAGAATCAACGTTGGCGGATTTTGGTTCTTGACATCCTTTACGATCGGTTACGATGCCTAGAGTACGGAGACCTGTACGATTTCGTCAACTTAGTGAGTTTGATAGGGGCCGTATAGTGGGACTTCGGGAAGCTGGACTTTCTTTTCGGGCAATTGCAGTTAGAGTGCAAAGAAGTGTAGACACTGTGTTTAGGTGTTGTCAGGCATGGATTCGAGAAGGCCGTACGCAAAGAGCAAGTGGCACTGGACGCCGCCGTAGAACAACAGACCGTGAAGATCGCCGCCTAAGATTATTGGCCTTAAGGGACCGTTTCTCCACTACCAGGTCCATTGCAAATGAATGGTTTGCAGAACACGGAAGACCTATTGGCATGCGAAGTGTTTACCGAAGAATGAGAAGTTTTGGCTTGATTTCATACCGGCCACACTGGGTGCTCCCTTTAACTCGAGAACACCGACGTAATCGCCTTGAGTGGTGCAGACAACGGTCACTCTGGGATCAGGAATGGAACAGCACTGTCTTTAGTGACGAGTCTCGATTTTGTTTAGGCATGCACGATGGTCGTGGTGAAAGGAGGAATCCACAGTTTTTTGTTGAAAGACATGTTCATCACACTGTTGGAGTTATGGTGTGGGGTGCTATAGCTTATGGTTCCAGGTCACCTTTAATCTTCATCAGTATACTTGTATTATAACAATCCTGACCGGTCCCACATAAAATTTTTTCGGGGGGCACCATCCATTTTTGTAGCGAACCCCAAAGGGAGCGGAGAATTCGTGGTAAAGATTTTCCACAAAATAAACAAGAACTCTTGCATTGAATAATATGAATAAATATTAACTACACCGAACGTTCCAAGATGGGCAAATACGAGGGTTGTCCAAAAAGATATGGTTCCCAACGCTGTGTCTGCCTCGCGTAATGCGAAATCTGGCAACAGCGCGTGTTTGTCGGCTCCCCCTCCACCGATCCCAACATGAAGGTTGCTTTTCTATGCCTCACAACCTGTTTAAGTTTTTTTGGGCGTAATCGAAACATTTTTGGAGAGCTTATAGTTTCAAAAATTTGCTTTCGTCGTTCCTGAATTATTATGGAGCATAAAATCTTGCTTCTGTACCAAAGGAATTATTAGCTTTGAAAATTTGAAGACAGCCATATGTAAATGCGTAAGAAGTACTGAGTCAATCTACTTGACACTATTATTGATACTATAATTATATTATATTTAGCTGGAGAAGTTTTTAGTGTTTCGGCATTTAGCTCTGAAGGCAGTACTAAGTACGGGCGCTAAAACTGCCACTTGCGAGCATATACGTCATGTTCGTAGACTAAAAAAACTAACCAAAACTGCAGGAAACCATAGGAAAACATTTATGTATTTTATTTCTTTGGACATACATGTTTTAGAAAGAAACAAAAAGTTAAATCATTTAGAAAAATAGGCGAAAAAGTACTGTATGATTCTGTATCATCATAAGCTATGTAATAAATAATTTGAAAAAAACTATTTTAAGGTTTTGTATGATAAACACTAAAGCAAGGTGCGGGACACAAACCAGTTCTACATTCCAAACACCAGTATCTAGATTCTTTTCTAATTCCCCTTTTATGACAGATATGACATCGTTTGGTAGGCTTTTCCTCATTTGATGTTGGTGGAATTATGGATGGGAAATGTCGCTCTACAAGACGAGATACTTTTTGTGTTCTTGACCGTCTACATTGTTGACTGTACAGGTAAGATTCAGCATATTTTTCGATCAAATTTTCTACGAGCTCTATCATGAAGTTGAATCTGCTTTTTTGCCTCCGTTTTGCTTATATAAAACATAAGTGTTCAGTACTGTCATATTCAATAAGTGAAAAAATATTTTTTTATAAAATTTTTTCAAGTGGGTCCGATCAAGAGAATAGAAATGTAGAAAATTATCCGACAAATCTACCCCTCCCATATCCCTATTGTAAGCTCCCTATTGTAAGCAAGAACAACTTCTGCTTTTTTAGTATTTTCTTTCGGTTTTCAATGTCTACCATTTTGTTGTCATGTATCGTACTGATCATTGCTACATCTTTTTTATCCTTCCATTTCAGTACCATTTGTTTTCTTCTGAACATAGCTACACATTCTCCTTTTCCTATTTTTTTTTTTGTTTTTATCTGGTTTGGTATTCCTTTTCGGTTTACACGCACTGTTCCCACACAATCAGTTCTGCGTCTATCAGTTTTTCGAAATTATAAATATATCCAGTAGAACTTTCGCACAACATATACAATTTTCTATCCCATCAACGACTCATCAACCGAAATATTTTTCCCAGGAATGTAAACACTCATAAACTTTTTTTTGTAGGTGATCAAGAACAGGTTTTATTTTATACAACTTTCGTATTTGAGGATTTTTGTTGATAAAAGTGTTGTCAGTGAAGTGTAGAAATTTATGCATTAGACTGAAGCGACTTTCTCTCGTTATTTTATATATATACATTCTCGGCTACTGAAGTACATCTCAAATGACGGCTTGAAGAAGATAGCTTGCAAAAAAACTCAGCCCAATGAAGGTTCGTATTTCATTGGAATTAGTTGTTTTCCACTCGTGAATCCGTGATTTTGGCTTTATTTTCATCAGGGTATGGATTATAAACTAATTGGCATACCTGAAAAAACGTAGCAGTTAAAGACACGGACAACCAGATTTTCATGTCAAAATTTTAGAAATCACGCATTCCCAATGAAAACTAACTAAACTAACTAACTAAACTAAGCTAACCCATACAACCAAAATATAATTTTACCTATTTATTTCCTCCACAATCAGGTCAATCAAGTAATCATCAAAAAGTAACTCAAATAATGCGACTTGAACTTTTATATTTATAGGAACTTGAGCGCCATCTGTGTCAGTATACGGAAAATAAGAACGACGAACTCCACTATATATCCAAGGAACATCAAAAGGTGGTGGAGGGTTGTTGTCGTTTACTTCGTCTTCTTTTTTTTATGCTCCAACTGCCACGAAGGCCTAAGGCCTAAACACCCATTAGATACCGTGGGGCTATAGGGGATACAGGGGAAAGGGGGAACGGCACACGGACTCTGACGAGGGAACACGTGTGCATGCAACATGCACACATTGCACACATTCTGGCTCCGCTAACGAGATCCGCCGGGTGGTATCTCCGCGTTCGACAGTCAGAGACCGCCTACCATCTACGGATAATCACAACATCCATAGCTAAAAGAAAAATTTCTCCTGGGACGGGATTCGACCGAAGAGTCTACTACTGCGGCCACCTCTGCTGCCTAAAGGCGGTACTGCTATCATCAGAAAAACTGTCTTCAAAATCAGAGTAATTGCTACTATTCGAATCGTCATATTCATCTGGTGATTCACAATGTCTTTTAGAAACTTTCAACAATCTTGCCGCGTCGTTCGCTGAGTAAACACTAATTTCATAATATTGCAAATGCATGAGCGAACGTAAAAATGGTGGGGAATCACGTTGGCTATCGCAGGCGATAATATTCGGCATATCCATGAAAGGGACCATCAAACATGATTTCACGAATATACTCGTCATGTTCAAAATAGAATATATTTATGAAGTGCGGATATATCCGTCATAACCGGTTAAGAGGTTAATTTCGAAAACAGGAAAAAATAACTGTTATTGAGAATCAGCTAATTGGATCAGGAACCATATTATTCCACTCACCAACTAACTGCGTATGCTGATGATGTCGCCATAATAGGGACAATAGGACGATGAAATCAGTGGACAGTTTGTGCAAGTTGTAGCAAAAATGAGTTTGAAAAGAGGGAGACCAAGAAGAAGATGGAAGGATGTGGTTATGGAAGATTTGAGGAGCGAAAATATCAGAGACTGGATTAAATGGGGATTAGACAAGAAGTGCAGGAATAAGCTAATTAAGCTCAGGACCTCAAGGCCTCTTTCATAGCTTATATACAGCGTTGGGAAATCTCGAAACTGGAGATACTAAAGACCAAAATATGTGAATTGACCTAAACATACCTCAGTCCAAAAGCTGACAGTTTGCGAGATAGAAGGTGTAACAGTTACAATTTTATCTTCTATTTTTCATTATTGCTTGAGAAGTATTTCAGATTTTGGCATAAAACTGGGTATAGGGAGGTTTTCTAGTATGAGAAACAAGAACAGTTATTTTTTATGCCCAAACTTCTACAGCACTATTTCTGTAAATAACTGATCATAACTTTTTTGTGCTACCCTGTTTACAACAGCTGATAGAAAAATCCTATTTTCTCGTATTTCCACAACAAAACAGGTTTACTTGTTAGAAGTGTCTAAAGCTAATAGTTTTCGAGATATTTGTTTTTAAAAGTTCCAATGCATTATTTGTACCATGATGATAAAACATCTTTATAACATAATAATCAAGTTGCTTTGACTAATATCTGAGTAGCGTTGCTATGGTTTTTAACAATAACAAAAGTAATAAACGGAAATAATACCTACAAAAATTGTTCAAAATGAAAGCTTTTTGAAATTTATTGGTTGCTTGTTTTTTAACGACCGGTGCCTCCCTGAATTTTTCAATTAATCTTTTCACCGTTGACAAGATTAAAACGCTGGCCATATTTTGTATAAAGTTTTCGAACTGCGGACGATAAACTTTCATTGTTTTTGAAATATTGTTCAATAATGAAAACACATTGACGTATCGTATAACTCTCCATTTTTACTAACCCTAGAGTATCAGGTGTCAAACTGTTATTTTGTCAGAGCTGCCTACAATTTACTGCAAAAACACAAACGATGCATTTGGATGCATACGTTTTATTTGTTCAGCTACTCGTTATTTCACAGAAGCGGCAATTTCGCAAGCATTTTGCATTCATGAAAGAGTCGTGTTAAACATTTTCCACACTTGTGGCCCTCTACCTCATTAATATTATATTAAATTTGCAGTCACTACAACAGCATAACAGTAAGAATTCTGTGCTTCCGCGGTTCAGTGAGTAGACGTCAAAAACTAACATCAAGTAGATAGAACATTTCCCGAAACTATCGGAAATAAATAGTTTCGTCCAACAAGACAGTTCTGAACGGTTATTTGAAGTGAACCGAATCAGTTCAGTAGGATTGTATCTTTAGGTTACTTAGATGATTATATTTTACAGTCCCTAATAGTCAGAAACTGCTTGTTCGATTGAACTGAAAGATGATATCCTGATATCTTATTCCATATGGTCAAACTGGTGAATGATGGTTGTAGGGGGAACTGAACAAAATTTTGAAAAATCGGTGTGTCTTCTATAAGTGCACTGTGTGGAATATAATTATGAATTTTTATATCTGTATATCTTTTGCATTTCTTGACTTTTCGTGCGATTCGATATATGTATTGACTGGCCGACCCCTTGATAAAGTATGCTTCTTTTAATTTTTTAGAGCATTACTACCTTAAATGACGTAAAAATCTATTTTACATAATTATATATTATAAACGCTTTTAAGTAAATATAAACCGGAAGAAGCTACGGTATCAATTACTGAGGTATTCTACATCATCACCCGATTGAAAATAACTTTTTTTTTTTATTATATCGAAACAGCCGCGCAGGCAGAAGCCTAAATGCCGGAACACCGCGGCTGCTATGATGATCCCAAAGAAATTTTGTTAATACGATTTTTGAACTGCCTAAGGTTAGTAGAACTGGGAAAAGCTTCCTCCCGTAGATTGTTCCACAATCTAGACACCCTCGGGACAAAGGAGCGGTCGTATCGGCCAGTTCTGGATGTACGAAGTTTGACACGGTTAGGATGGGACGCCGAAGTCAGGCGGGTCTGTCTGGCAGGCACATCGCGCGGCGGCATCATAGAAGAGAGCTCTGAGGAGCAAAGCCCGTTGGTGTAGCGATAGAAAAGAGCTAGATCGCCGACGGCCCGCCGGTGCGAAAGAGTCCCGAGACTGTCTGTTAGAGAAGAGTCATCGATCAGTCGGACCGCCCTCCTCTGGACAGCATCGAGCATGGACAATGTAGTCGGGGCGGCAGCACCCCAAATGTGTGAGCAATACTCGAGGCTAGGCCTTATCTGGGCCTTGTATAGAGTGAGAAGGTCATGCGGAGAAAAGTACTTCTTAGCCCTAAACAAGATTGTTGCGTCCCCAAGCAGTGATAGCCTCCAGGTCTCTTGTCAGAGAAGAAGTCGTCGCTAGTCTTCTTTTTTCCAGCTCAGCGGCAGAGATCGGCTTGTCACTCTGAATTCCTGCATGTAGAGTGCTGTCATCAGCGAAGCTGTGGATTGGGTTGATCGTGCAGGAAAGGAGGTCGTTGATATGTAAGAGAAACAGTGTTGGAGCCAAGACCGATCCCTGGGGAACACCCGCTTTGACGTTGTGGGATGAAGAGGAGAATCCGTCAATTACGACGGATATCTTGCGGCCAGAGATAAAGTCAGCCACCCATCTGCAAAGCTTTTCTGGGAGGCAGTAGGATGGAAGTTTGTTTAAGAGGGCAGCGTGCCACAGATGATCGAATGCTTTCGTAATGTCCAGAGCAACGACATGAGCCTCACCATGAGACTGGATGAGTTTACTCCACAGTTGCGTGACGTAAGCTAGGAGGTCCCCTGTGGATCGTTGGTGCCGGAAACCGTACTGCCTGTCGCTAATCATGCTGTGACGTTCGAGGTAGTCCAGAAGCTCGCGATTTATGCACCTCTCCATCACTTTACTTATAACAGAAAGCAGAGCTATAGGCCTGTAGTTGTAAGGGTCGGTTTTAGATCCTTTTTTGGGATGGGCTGTACATGAGCAAATTTCCAGTTTTCTGGGAAGGTGCCGGATTCATAAGATATCTGGAAGAGACGCGAAAGAACTGGAGCAAGCTCCGCTGCACATCTCTTCAGTACAATGGCAGGAATCAAGTCCGGACCAGACGCTTTGTTGATGTCGAGCGACAAGAGCACTCGTCTTACGGTCTTATGCCTGAATGTTACCTCCCGCATAGTGTGGGGAACCCTTTGAATTGACGGCACTTGGGCGTTGGTGGGGACGTCCATGTTGGAGTTGGCAGCAAAGATCTTGGCTAGCACTTCCGCCTTGGCCTTTGAGTCGAATACAATAGTCCCATCCTGACACGTAAGTGGTGGAAGGCTACTGTGTGAGAAGTTCTTTTCAATCTGCTTGGCCAGCGTCCAGAAAGACCGGCTGCCATTGCGCTGCGACATTACCCTGTGCCTAACTTTTATATCATGCTGGTTTTTGGCATTGCGAACCGCTTCGTTATATTTGTTTCTGGACTCGACGTCGGCTTGTCTGATCTCTACAGTGGGGTTTTGTAAGTAGGTTCTGTGGGCCTTGATCTTCTGCTGGCGAGCAGTGTCACACGATTTGTTGAACCAGCCGTTGGACCCTGGTTTAGGAACTTTCACTGTGTGAGGGATGTATTCCTCCATTCCGACGTGGATAATTTCGGTTATTGAAGAACAGACAGTCGACGCATCCGCGTCAGTGAAACAGACATCTCTCCAAGGGAAGCTAGAGAAGAAGTCTCTGAGCCCCTCCCAGTCGGCATGTCCGTAATGCCAAGTTTTGCGGCCTGTGCGAGTTTCTGCTGCCACAGCGGCTTCGGACCGAAACCTAACCTCCGCAACACCGTGATCTGAGTTACCCAGGGGGGACAGGACAGCAGTGCTGTAAGGGGCAGGATGCGTGGTCAGAAAGAGATCCAGCAGGCTACTGGCGTGTGACGAGACGCGGGGGAAAAAAGTAGGGCTCGTCACCAGCTGGGTCAGCCCTTGAGTAAGAGCGAACGCTTCGACTGCACGACCTGCTGCATCGGTCTTATTTGAGCCGAACCAAAACTCATTATGGGCATTGAAATCACCGAGAAGAACTACCTCTGAAGCGGGGTGATTGATGTTCAGGAAGTCGATCTGGACGGCGAGGTATTCGAGTAGGTCATCCCAGTTACGGTTCGAGGGAGAGCGATAAAAGCAGCAAATAAATTTGGGTGATGTTTTGGAGTTGAGGCGAAGCCATAGAATGTCCTTCCGGTCTGATTCCAAAGAAAGATCCCTGGAGCAGGAAAGACTGCTGCGGACTCCCCCGTTCTTTCTCAGATTGGAGTGCACCTCGTAGTTTGGGAAGTTGAGATGGTTAATCGGTGCAGTCTCTGAGATTTTTGTCTCCGCCAAGAAAAGCACGGCGGGACGATTGGATTGCAGGTAGTGATGAACAGCATCAATGTTGCTGTTGTTCCCTCGAGCCCACCCTCCACCCGGACATTCCGAGAGTGGAGTGAGTTTACGTCCGGAGTTTTTAGTGCTCGAGGGATCCATCATCATTAATTTCTTTGTTTTGGTAGATAACCGACTGCATAGCTTAGGTGTGGAAACATGCGGACATTTATAAGACACCCTGGGAAAAGCTAGCGGGTGGTACTGCCTCGGTCGACTGGTCCTTGTCTACCACCTTCTTTTTACGTGTTAGTGATGTTAAATAGACCTAAAGTGGCCCGTTGGCGGACTTGTACCGCCACCCGGCAATCGGTACTGACGTATTCCTTAACGCGTGGACAATCACTTGGACGGGAAGAAGTTGTATACTGGATACAACAACTTCCGGAACAAGCATTTGCCACGGACCTCGCTCAGTAGGGTGTCAACTACTGCAAAAGTACATAAAGTTGTACTGTAGCAGGATTTGTTTCTTATTTTCTAGCATTTTTTATTAAAGTATGTATTGCTTGTACTGACCTTATCTTACTTGATGCTTGTAACGCAATAATCTGGTTCTTACCAATCCGGCGTATTGTGAACAAAAAGCTATATGCAGATATTGGCAAATGTCGCAAGTCCAGCGGTCATATAGTATCTCCAGCGATAAGACTGCATGGAAAAAATACACATCCCAAAACCCAGATAAGGAGCAATATAAAAACCCATGTGTCCGAGCAAAAGCCATCATTCAGATCATCCTGTTCCGAGCTGAAAAATGCAGTGTGCCGCCCTTTTGGTCTTGTCCGCCCTCGCTTTGGGCAGCGCTGTGCCCATTGGCTCAGTCTATGACTACGGTTACGCTCCCTACCACAAGGACTACGCTAGCGATTACGTCAAGGATGCGATCTACGGTCATGGTGCCTATGGACACCCTTACTACGGCAAGCACTTCGCAGGAGTCCATGATATTGATGACGTTTACCACCATGCTGTCCATGCTTGGCCAGTGCATGACGTCGCCAGCCATGTGGGGTAAGCTCAAATCTATGTTTTTTTATGTCTCAATTGTATTCTGAGTGTTCTAGCTTTTTTGTCAGGAGACAAAACTATTTTTAATAAAAGAACAGATTATTGCGCGTTTATTACTTGCAGCATGTTTGAACTCAATGTGCAAAGTGTCGGAGGCTCCAACAGGTCTATCACGCCCGGGATACATAGAAAATTTCATCTATAGGTCTACACGGCAAGTAAATGATGTAGTTTTGTCTTGAAGTCAACAACAAGTAAATCTGAACAGTTCTGGTGATCGGTAAACATAGGGCAATAATGAGCGCTATTCACTTTACTGTTCTTGAGCATGAAGAAGTTCTTGGGCTGGAAATAGAGGCTTAAAGTCAGGTGAATCTACTCATAAAGTACACTTTACCGCCCGGTTATTAGACAGCGAAACTCAGAAAAAATATACAGCGCGTCTAATATAAGAATTATAGAAACGTTATTAATTTAGAATTCTGGTTGAATTAAAAAAAGAATTAGATAATATACAGGTTGTGTTACGAAATATTACGCATTAGGCTAAAGAACGGCAACGCTGTCTCCTTCACAGGTGACGCGCCCACACTCGACCGCCGGCGCCGACCTGGCATTGCCGTATTTCTCGCTTTTTAGACCTTGCACTAAGTAATCATTGAATACACAACCTGAATATATTTTTGTACTGATCCATAATTTTTAAATCTAAAGCCACAAAGTCACTCTTCAGTCTCTTCAAATAGGTGACCAGAAATCGGGAACATATAGCTGAATTCTATAAAATCCATGCGAAGGTAAATGAATCATTTTTTTCCTTGTCTGATATTAGAATTTCACAATAATTTATTGTTTCACTAAAATATTTTTTGAGTAGGAATTTCAGAACGAGCAATTTTCTTTTTTCAGTGCTTAAAGTGAAACTGTTGTATTACAATTATTAGCCAAAGTCACAGCGACTCCAAGATATTTACACTTTATTGAATAATTAGACAGACGGTATTAGTTTAAAACAAAACAATGCCATAGTCTTCTCCAAAATTAATACGTACTTTCATGTTTCAATTGAAGGGTATTAATAGCTCAGCATAACCTGTCTGCAAACACTTTTGTGTCAAAATTCGCTGTTTCTTAATAAACTCTTTCACAAAAACTTAAAATGTCTGCAAAAGATTGCCATACCACCTTCAAAATACTTTGAAAATATCTACGCAGATCGTTAGTAATATAGTGAGACATAAACATTTGCGACAAGTTAAAGTATTGGAAGTATTATAGTGGAAAATAAAATAAAAATTCAATTCAATAATAAAAGTGCTTATACTATTACTTAACAGACAAAGTTGAGGTATTAGTTATGCCTCGATACTTTTTCAAAATATGCGACCCCAATTTGAGCTCTGAAGTTTGACTTTAAAGAACATAAACTACAGATTCTTCTACTCAAAACTATTTACACTATTCCATTACTTTATCGCAGAGATGATCTTCACAAGAAATTGTACGTAAAGGAAAGACAATGGGAAGATGACAAACACCTGGACGAACAACACAGAATTCAGCACATCCACTTGAAACAAGAACAGGAACTGCTACATGAACAGCAACACCAGCAGCACATGCAATTGGAACATCAGAAAGCAGCTTTGGACCATCTGCACCACGTCCAAGAACAGGAAATCCACGATCAGATGGAGAGGCTGGACGACCAGCAGTTCGCCCAGAAGGTGCAGCTGGATGAACTCCACGCCGTTGAAGATGCCAAGGTAACAATTTTTTGTCTCTAAAGACATCGTTATTATTATACATTACAAAATAAATGGGTTCACTTGCTAGCCTTAGCGTCACTACGACCCGAATGGATCTATTATGAGCCACATATATACTTTCTAAAACACTCTGACCAGCCTTGATCCTTTGATCAGACTCCATGCCTTGACACAGGGCCTTGCATGTAGCTTTTCGCAGTTGGACCTGTAGTTCCTACTATCTGCCAGGCTTGTACAGTGATACACGAGATGGGTTTCCTAATGCTCTCTGAAGAAATGGCATGTAGCTTGTTCTGTCAGATCCAAGAAACTCATATGTCGATTTGGATGACAGTGTCCTGTCAGGAGACCCACTATGGCCCCTATAGCCTTCCTATTAAATCTGAGTAGGTTCTCTGTAAATGCGAGCCTTAATTTTTTGCCTTTGCTGTTCCGCCATTCTAGGGGCGTTTTCTTGGTCCAATTTCTTATGAACTGTTTAGTGCGTGTACTCGTCACGCCACAGAAGGGCACTGGTTCTCTAAGGCGATTGGCCGCACCTTGTCAAGCTAGCTCATCCGCATTTTCATTTCCCTTGTGCCCGTCATGTCCTGGTACCCAGAACAATGTTACCTTGTTCGGTTTAACAGCTCTTTGAGAGTGTTTACGCAATCCCATACTAGTTTAGACGATATTTGAGAAAAACTTAGTGACCTTATGGCTGCCTAGCTGTCTGAGCAGATGGCGATCGATTGATTTGCAGTCTCATTCAATGAATCGTACAATCTGATCTTAAACTTACAGGTGGCTGCCCACTCTGCCCACCCAGCTTTCTTGCGCGATTATGAACACCCATACAGCTATGGACACGGTTACGCCGCACTGCACAGCTACGGACACCCTTATGCGGCCATGCACAGCTATGGACACCCTTACGCCGCAATGCACAGATATGAACATCCTTACGCTGGATTGCACAGCTATGGTCGCCCTTACGCTGCATTGTACGGCTATGGACATCCTTACACCACCGCTGCTAGATGGGGACCATACGCTGCCACAAATACTGTCCATCCATGGGCCATTCATCATGAATGTCCTGAGTGTCACCACTATCTTTATTAATTTGTAAGATAATGTATGTCGACTGATTCTGATTTAAGGACATAAAGCAATATTTCTTAAACTTATTGTGTATTCATATGCTTTGATACCCAGCCATTCACAACCTTTCAACTGGCAATGATCCTTGTGCTGGTTTCTTAAACATTCTTTAACTTGGTTTCTCATTTTCCCCTATACTTTGTTGTTGGTAGATGCGGCAAATACAAATATGCAGATCTACGAATATCAACCTGTATATTTCGTCATTATGTACTTTATGCAAATGGAAGTTTATCTAATTCATTGAAAAAGATCCCCAAAGTTGGATATACCGTAGCTGAAAATATGTAAAATACACGATCAAGTTAGAACATCAAAAAACGTTATAACTAAACGAACTGCGTCAAAAATAGTCTATTTATAACATTGCGTCCCCCAGTTCCATTAAACACAAATTTTCCCGCCACAGGCATACTACTGAAAATAATAAGGAAAACGGGTCGTCTTTTGTCCGTGTCCCTTAGCATCATAATAGAAATAAATTGCATAGGGAAAATATTTTATCCACTATAAAAGATTGCATCCGACGTGAATGTGTTAAGCACCAATGGTGATTATTCACAAAACCGATATTTCAACTTGTACGAGCAGATAAAGAATGCAGAAGCTGTAGTATAGATTTAAAATTTTATAGCGAGATGTCAGCAAAGATACGAGGATTGTTTCAAAAATATGGTTCTCACATTTTTTCATGCACAATGAATTTTTTATTTGATAAAACGAATTCACCAGTGGACCCGTTGATCTTCAAGCTATTTCACTGCATAGTCGCCATTTTTTCCTACGCATTTTTTTAGACATCCAGCCCGTTTAAAAACTTGTAACTGCTCATTGCAAGTCCTCGTCTGTCTCGAGCCGTTGACCGCTCAGGTACTCCTTCAATTTCGGAAACGCTATGTCAAGCGGGGATTTAAAATTTCGTCTAGGGGGGGGGGCAAACGATATTTGGGGCTGGTAATGTTTCAACCTCAGTGGAACTTCTAGAATTTATCATACTATTGCTCCTTAAATCCATTGTGTTTTATCTGGTCAATGCCAGCTTGAAAAAAAAACACGGAAAATGCTCAGAAATCCTCTGGAATGCAATATTTCATTATATGAGAACAAAATAAGTATGTAGCATTTATAATTAACTAGTGTAATAATATTAAAGATTAAAACATAAAAAACTTCATTGCTCTGTTAACCGAAAAAAAACATTCTGAGGGACCCAGAGACATATCCCACTCCGTTCCACACAAAACAATTTGATTTGATGGCGAATGACATGAGACCGAAGAAGGAGGTGGGTTGATAAGGGCTATTTTTCACCCATAACATACTCAAAAATAAAAAGTTCGATTCCAGACTATTATTGAATTTATTTGTGAACTTCAAGACGTGTATTTTTTTCATTATATAATATTTAAGGTATAAATAATGTAATATGCTTCCGAAGTTATTGCCATGAAATAGAGTATTTAGCGCTTTTTGTGTATCTTTTTTGTTTTTAGATCTTTGAATCATGTTTTCCCTACGAAGCGTTCTTTGAACCATATTAACTTTAATTCTCTGTGAGTCTACTTATTATAGGCTTGTATATGAGTATTTATTTGTTTTGGTTCAGTGAGAGCATCAATCCAAAAATACGTGAAATATGAAGTTTTAAAGGTGTTATTCTAGGTATATTCACTGAATAAGCTGTATCGGAGAGCTCTGAGAACTTTTCTTTTCATATAAGAAATATACATTTTTTTAAGCACTACCGTTGGCCTTATTAGGCACCCAGGGATCCAATAAGGCGATGATCTGGTTTTTAATAAAGCCACGCTCAAAATATAACAAGACTGTTGAATAAACGAACTTATATTTCTAATTAACAACAATAAAGAATTCTTAAATCCAGATAGATTTCAAGTAAAAAAATCAACTTTGTTTGCCTTCGCATTCATGACAAACAAATGATACCTTATCGCCTCTACGCAAGCCTACACATTCCTCATGGACATATCTCAAGCATATTACACACAGGCGCATGTCACGTATTTCATCATTATCGCATATAAAACAGTCCCAGTTTTCGTCTTTATTCTTCTGGGAACCATTTAACATGACCTTATTACGCACATCTAAACTTAAATATACAATTTACAAAATTGAAAACATCCAAAACCTATCAACAGCAAATAACTACCTGCATACGAGGGATGTCTTTTAAGTTTTGCATACAGAAACATAGTAGGCCGCGCGGATCGAACGTCAGTACTGAATCTTATCCTCACTCTTTAGTAAACTTAAATTCATAGTTTCACAACAATACGTGCAGTGTTCTCACTACAGTGAATTCTTAAGTGTCACCAAGTCATTAGAAAAATGGAACTCAACCGAGAACATTTTTGCGCCATAATTTATTACAACTTTCAGAGACAATTATCGCAACAAGAATGCCTTGCTTAGTTACTGTCTGTTTTCGGCAACGAAACACCAAGCGCCACATCAGTCGACAATTTCCCGTTGGTATGGAGAATTCAAACGTGGACGGGTGAGTCTTAGCGACGATCCCAGGGTGGGTGCACCAAAAACGGCAGTCAGCCAGGAAAACGTCGATGCTGTGCGCAAACTCATCATTGAAGATGGACATGTGACATATCGCGAGATTGAGGCGTCCTTGAAGATCTCAAAGACCTCAATTCAAAAAATTATACATGAAGAATTAGGAGTAAGAAAATTAGTTTCTCGTTGGATACCCCACCTGTTGACTGAAGAGCAGAAAGCTGCCAGGGTTAATTGGTGTCAAAAAACGCTTGACCGTTTCAATTCCGGAAACTCAAAAAATGTGTACAGCATTGTTAGTGGTGATGAATCGTGGATTTACTGTTATGAACCAGAAAATAAACGACAGTCGGCTGTTTGGGTGTTCCAAGAAAAGCTTACAAAAGTCATCCGTTCTCAAAGTGTTTCGAAAAAGATGGTCGCGACATTTGTGTCAAAAGCGGGTCATATTGCAACAATTAATCTTAATGAGCAAAGAACTGTTACTGCGGATTGGTATACCACCATTTGTTTGCCAAAAGTCCGCACCGCTAAACAAATCTCATAAATGTTTATTTCCAATTTAGGCGTTCATTTTACATAGTGCTCTGCTGCAATACCAACCCCGAACAAAATCAGTCAAGCTTTACACACTTTTCAAATTACTATTGAGCAACAAACAGAACATAAATCACTTTTCAAGTGCAATCTGTATAGCTAATATATTACTCAGACTTACATTTGTCACCAGTCACAATACTGGTATATACGTATAAATCATAAGAATTGTGCTGTAAACGTAAATGATGTCAAAGAGGGACAGCGTTTAGACTACCAGAGGATACCAAAAAATCGCAATGCTCAGTTCCTATAGCTATAACTTATAGTTAGTATGCCTCTGTCGCCATGATGTGTCAGAAAGTAACACAATGGTGTTAGATTACAAAAGTGTCAGACGTCTAGGGAGGCGCGCGCCAACCGCCCCCCCCTAAATCCGCCTCTGGGCTGTAAATAGATGTACAATGACTTTCCAGCCAAATCGCTCGATTAAGTCCTTCGTTAGATAAAGCGTTGGAAACCTTATTTTTGAGACAACCCTCGTATGTCTGTGAATTTATTTGTGGAACACTGCATCATTTCCATATACTATTAATATGACCACAACCAGATCAATTTAGGGGTTCCAGAACTCGAATTAAGTCTATAAAAATCAGACATTTGTTAAGAATCTGAACACCTCCCGCTTTATAGCGCCAGAACGTAGGGATTCCTTTGCGTTCACATACAGTGCCCCACATTTAGATTTACCAGGATGCCGGTCCATCCGTAAGTCCGGCCATGGATGTGATTTTTGAAATACTGACAAATAAACATGTATAGTAAGCTGCGGTTTTTGAATATCAGGTGCACATTACCGTGGAATTGCGGACCAGGCAGATAGGATTGCAAACTAGCCGACAGACTGCCACCATACTCCGCTTGGATAAAGAATGACACCGACAGTATAATTCACTTTGTACTCGATGTACACGTAAATGTCGTCGCTGGAAAGACAAAGGGGCGTAAGTCGGAAGATGCCCATTTGAAGTTACCACCAAAAGCGGATATCTATAATATGACGAAGTGGCGTATCGCTCCTCCTTATAGTTAACGTAATATGGCAACTCAGTATGAAGGCGGATCTCCTATTCTTACTAGTACTAAAAGGACAAACGGGCCTATATCGCGTCTGCTGTAAAATAGCTAAATTGGAGTTACGCCTCTTTGTCTTTCCAGCGACGATGTGACCTGTTTCAGTCATAACTTTGAACTTTTTAAGATTAAAAACTTACAAGTGCGCTAGCTTCTTAAGAACCAACTAAAAAAGATACAATAATGTTAAGCTCATTTCATGGGCAGCATCCTTTGAAGGTAATGCGACTATTATTTTACAATTATTACTGTAAAATTAACAATAGCATTGATTTGTTGAGTCACTTGGAGATAAACAGCACGCTATTCAATTGATAGATTGTCAATAGGATAAAAATTCAATACGCTAACATTACACAAAATCTTCTTCTACATTATTCAATTTACGGCAAGGATATGTCCTTGATATTGGAAGAAGACCTAGGAATAATTGGATTTTCGTTAACTAGATATTCCGTGACCCATGACGATTTCTCGTTTTCGCAAGCGTTCCATCAATTTTGTAAAAACAATGATAATCAAACACCCGTATTTTATAAACCTGACTAGTATAATTGAATTAAAAGAGACGGTCATTTCGCAGTCGTTCCTATTTTTATGCATACTGCAAGAACTATGCGTTATTGTAACGTAATGCAAGGTCGTGTAAAGCCTATCCATTTTTTGAAGCTCATAGAGATTTTACGAAATAAAATATTTATAAAACCTTAAATGGAAAAGTATGCTGAATGCTGATGCCGCTAAAGAAACATCATTCAGTCCTATTGCCTCCTCGAGAAGATACATTATTAGTAAGTTAATCATTATCATTATATGCCTACAAAACCCTACCTCGAAAAATGCAAGTAAGATCACTTCTGTGTATCTAAGTTGTAAGGATAGAGGTTTTCCCAACTATATATACTAATCTTAGGCACACATTGGGTCAGAGGCCGAAAAACTGCAAGAAATTAAAAAAAAAAAAATTTGATTTGAGGACACCCTCATTACATTTCTTTAAGTTAGAATACCTAAGGTACTATTTAACAGTATTTAAAAGGCATATAACAGATAGGGTCGGTAATACAATGAAGCAAACTTACGTCTTGCAGACTGAGCAGCCAATTATGATAGTGAGATTTAAGTGCACCTTCAGAACAGCTTCGCGCGGTGAGGCGAGTTCTTTTTGATATAGTTTAGCTATCGAACAACAATATATGTTTTTTGATAAATAGTTGGAAAAAGTTGTAGTGACGAGAATATAAAACAGAAATTCGGTAGCTTAAGTATGTCAAGGTGAACGAAAGCGCGTAGAATAAAATAAAAATTTTATAAACATAATGTAGATGATTAATTAAATAATTAAGCATTATATCATTTATAACTCAATCAGTTTGCCGTACATTTAATTATTTTAGTCTTGGCATGTCAATAAATATATATAATATTTATTTAGCTTTCTAATTTTACCAAAATTCCTAAATATTCAAATATTATCATTTATAAGGAATCAATACTTCATCTATAATCTATATCTCAGAGCCAGACTAGGTTATGTCCAAATAACTACTTTTGATATAATTGCGTTTGGAATATTTTTCTTGTATTCTATTGTATGAGACTTAAAATGATTTATAAAGTTGTAACTTCCTTATTATTACAGGTAGCTGGACACTACATATAGCAAATGGAAATTCACAATATTATCATAAACTTAACATATATTGTAGTCAAAAATGGAGTTAAATGGAGAAAAATAATAATATCGATTCTCATTCATGCCACTGGCTATCATACTATAGAGTGATAAAGATTGGATCTTCCAAAACTGTTTTTTCTAATATTTTACAAGCTTATAAAATATTCGATCCACTTTAGAAAGTCTTAGCCTTAGTTTATTTGATGGCAGTTATGAGGGTATCCTGCTCCATTATGCGTCATCAGTAATAAGTGACACATGGCAATAAGGTAGTATCCACTTAAATAAAACTGCATTTTCAACAGCTGAAATAGACCACCAAAATCTATTTTTTCAGAATAATGTATTCCTTCTTAGCTGTCAGAGAAACGTTGTTATTTTACGGTCATCTGACAGAAGCCCAACATCCATGGCAGAAACATACTAACATTTTATAGGAGTGAAAGAGCTTATACTTTTTTCTCATTCGCTACGTAAATTTCTTCTAAAAAGTTTTTGCACCACCCAAAGAATTTTGTGACCACTCCCAAATTATCAGTAGTCCTATAATATCTACCTACCTTGCAAGACCATGAATCATTTTTTATACTCCTGAATTTTGTTTGCCATATTCGTCGAATTTAATCGTTTGCTTACGACGCTCAAGTTTATCATACACAAATTCCAGTTTAGGTACAAATACTCGTATATCTACCAAAAAATGATTTATTATCAAAAATTATAAAACAACGTAAACAACCAGTTATAGTTACCAAATAATTTAATCTTATGAAATACTCTACAGAAACGACAACAATTCATTGGTCAGTAACTTCAAAGCAGAAACATTCTTAGCAGTCATTTTTTCTTTATTTAAAAGTTTCCTTAAAGCTTTCACGTCGCTCCTCAGTGTTGCTATAGCATCGCCAATATCATCAAAAAGTATTTCTTCTTGAACATTGCTTTCTTGTACTTTCCTTTCAGGCCGTTCTTTTATTGACCTCACTACTTTAACCTTTTCAACATTAGGCTCAATTTCAGGAAACTCAGCTCTGAATTTCTTCATGGGTTGATTAACCATCACCTCTCTCCAACTGACACATTCATGCCTATACATTTGTTTACTCAGCGTTATGAAATACGTTTTATCAAAAGAAGCATTTCGCACTTTTCTTTCAAGGTAATCTGACAGTTCCTCTTGGTTCGCCTTCGAACTTTTCATTAGTTCCTCTATAATGTCGTGCTTATTTTTTTGGTAATACAGATCGATAACTTCTAATACATACTGCTTCACAACGTTATTGATATCGTTCAATAAATGTGGATATATAACGTGAGAAATAAGGGTGAATACTTTGTACATGTCCTGACCTAGCTCGTTAGAATTTTTTTCGGCAAATGCTTTTAATACGTTACAAACTGCGATTTTTAGGTCATCTTGGGCAGCTAATGTCTTGAGTTCCTTAAGAATCTGGAAGATATATAATAAATACAATCACTTTTTTCACAATGAAAGATCAATTTTCATTTAAAAACAAAATAGTGCAGCAGGTGGCAAGTTTTTTTGATTGGAAACGCCCATAGTATAGCAGATAATGTCCGAAAACAGTTATTCAGATAGGCTGTAAACAACAAATTATGTCATCCTCATTTGGAAGCATGACAAATATATTTTTCAATGAAACCCAGAAAAATAATTTCTTCAACTTGTTTTTTTGGCTACAGAATGACTACCTATATTCAAAGCATGCTGTGGCAACAGTGTCAACGTTTTACCTTTGTTTTTGTTTACTTTTGTTCAAATGTTATCTCTTTAGTTTCTGAGAGCTGAGTAGTACAGATATTTTTAGTTATTGCCCTTTCATTTACTAATTTTAAGCATAACAAAATACGTCGAGTTCGAAGATGTCCAAATTACCACCATGTTAGCTACTTTGACAAGGGTAGAATGATTGCCTATCGAGATGTTGGTTTGTCCTATCGCGAAATTGGCCACCGTGTTACTTGTTACTTGTACTACAATGACGATAATGCGTGTGTGTCGTGTGTGGATAGAAGGTAGAGGAACACGAAGAAGGCCAACTGGTCCACCGAGGGGTACCACAGAGCGTCAAGAGAGGAGCTTCAGACAACTAGCCGTACGAGACCGTTTTGCTACTACGCGTCAGATCTCTAACCGATGCGATGGTTTGGAGAAGAACACAGACCTTTTACTATGCGTACACTCTATTGCCGCATTCGAGCCTTTGAACTTTTTTCATACCGTTCACGATTAGTGGTTCCTCTGACTGCGGACCACTGTCGTCAACGTTTGAACTGGAGCAGAGAACGGTAACATTGGGAGGTAGAATATCATAATGTCATCTTCAGCGCCGAATCGCGATTCTGTCTAGGTACGCACCATGGTCGTAGAAGGGTAAGACGGCGCCGTGGAGAACGACGTCCGCACGTCCTTTTTCAGCAAGACAACGCACGTCCCATATTGCTCGTCGTACTACGGACTTTCTTCAAGAAGCAGGCGTTTATGTTTTGTCGTGGCCACCCCGTTCGCCGGATTTAAATCCCATCGAACATGTGTGGATATGATGGGGAGGAGACTATCCACTTTGCACCACCCACCACAGACTCTGCCACAGCTAATCCAAGGAGTTCGAGTTGCTTGGAATGAGGCGCCACGACCAGAAATCGATCATCTCATTTTGTCGTTGCCTAGACGTATACAGAAGTATATTCACCCAACACATTATTAATTTTTTTCTTATTACTTGTCAATAAAATTTCGTGAGAATGTTATCGTTTCATTCTTGATGCAAGACAGCCTCATCATCATCAAGTTAAAGAAATTATTTTTTTTCTGGGTGTTACACTTCTAGTGTCACTGAGTATGTTATTCTCTTATACAGGGTGTTAGGAAGGTCGATGCCATCCTTTTCAGGGGTGATAACACCCATTTCAGAGTTATCAAAATATCGCATACATAAAAAATAAAGTTGGTTTAGTGAATGGTTGGATTTTTCAGTGCTTCGTAGCTTTTCGGACGAATTTATGGGAAAGTTTCATAACAGTGAAATTTAAAACAAATTAAAAAAATTCCCCTCGTTTCTGCTGCTCAGTAACTGTTATAATTGTTATTTCTTATGCATTTTCGTACCCTTGTTTCATATTCCTGCAGCAGTAGTCAGTTTACTAAGAGTGATTTGGTTTCACATTAGTGTACCTTATCTGAAAACTCAGCGGGAAGACATAGCAATTGCGCGTAAAGTCAAAATCTTTCAAAAACATAATAGTTAATACATAGAAATATGATTCACATTTCCAAGAACATTACAAACCTTCAGAGTATACGATACACCATAGAAGTGCAAAACCGTGGTATGAATCATTATGTTGTAATATCGAACTATTCGCTAGATCTAACTACTGCTTGATATTTTTATGTGTGGACCTAGACGGAGGAACTGTTTTTTTCTAGGAAACGACTTCCAATGAACATTTTGAGGGAATGGTTATTTTCTGCTAAATAAAAGTAAATGGTGTATCAGAGTTTTGTACTTCTGGGTGTGTCATTTGCTTTGAAATTTTGTGATGCATTTGGAAATGTTAATTATATTTCTGTGCATTAAATATCATGTTTTTCATATATATTGACTTTGCGCGGTTGTCATGTCTTCCCAGTGAGTCTTCAGAAAAGCTAGACAGAAATGTGAAACCGAACCACTCTTAATAATTGACTACTGCTACAGGAATACTAAACAAGAGCACGAAAATGCGTAAAAAATAGCAATTCGCATTTTGTATTAAATGAATGAATAATTCTGTCACTGCCAAGCGCTTTGTTTCATGAAAAATGGAATTTATGTTTCTTTTGTAATTTCGATGACATTCTGCTTGACCTAATATTTTGGGTCATTGAGGAACAAACATGGTTGTATCACTTTGTACAAATATGATATACCATAAGAAAGAGCAGTAGCTAAGGAAGTTTGGTCATTGATTTACACTGTTGCCAAACTTTCTCAGAAATTAATTCTAAAAGCCACGAATCACGGGAAAATCGAACCTTTTACAACTTTATTTTTGATAACGTGTACGTGATATTTCAATAACTTGGAAACTATTTGTTTAGGGAGACCATATATTAACATAAATGATAAAAATAAGAGAACAAAAATTGCTCTTCATTATTGAACAAGCCATGGCTTATCGCATGATTTTGGCTTTTTCCTAAGATTTCACAAAATTGCGCATAACAGAACGGTTCGACTCGAACTGATAATTAAGAAATTTTTTTCAAATGATTATGGCTGACTAATAGTATAAGGATTCGGTGTACTACTATTTCAATAAATAGCAACTTTATCAATCATGCGACAACCAACGATGCCGCTTTGAACAGAAATGTAAAATCTGTGGATAAGGAATACCTTAAAACATACCAAGAATAACTTGTTCACGCTGAATTCTGTGATAAGTGTTGCCGTTATTCTGAGCAATTTTACGATAAAATATTTCCACATATTGTTCGAAAAATCGTTGAATTCCAGGCTCCACAAAGCTCCGATTGTCGAAACCAAACTTCTGGTTTGCTCTAATGGCAGTATGTTAAAATTAGCGGTGGAAAGGATCTCCAAATGTTCACCCTAAAAAGTTTATTATCCAGGGTCTCTAAATAGTATGTCAAAGCTCAAAATCTTCGTTACGATTAGAGTTGCCGAAAAAACATGAATATAGAAGTTGTAAGACGAGCTAACGCCTACAACCTAAAATTATTTTTAGCTATTCTTGTATTTTTTATATTTCAGTTGATTTTTAGAAGCGCCTTTCTGCCAAAGTATGGTTTCGGGATTTTACATTGAGTATTTCGGAATATATGGCCACTTTTCCGTTAAAATCATTGTAGATTTGTAATTTTTTTGTAATAAACATCCTGTATGTTATATCTCTCTTCAACGGGTCACTTGATGCCTTTTCAGCTTTATTATAAGCATTCCCTATACCTAAACCTAGTATTTTTTGAGATATTCCATGTTTTATAAGTGGAAACCATAATAATATGGGAATTATTAGGAAAATATAGGTTGGTCATGCTTTTTTGACAAACCTGTCATCGTAAACTTCAGTAGTAAAGTTTCGCTTGTATTAGTTTCGCTTAGAAATAAAATGAATGTTTCAACACAAGGAACAGTTGATATCATTTATGCATAAGGAGCAAGTGAGAAAAATTCTTTATCGGCAATAAGATTGTATAATGAACGTCACCTAGACAGAAGACAACCGAGTAAGAAAACTCGCCATAATTTTATGGGGCGTTTCAATCATACAGGAAGTGTGGGATATGATTTAGACATTAACATATCATCCGTGCACAGTATACTTCAATAAAAAAGAGCTAAGCGAAAACGACTACAGACTTAGGCTGACATTTTGTGGCTAGGCACAAGAAAAAGTCGGTGACCAAGAAGATTTTTTTTTGAATGTTCTGTTCGCCGACGAATCAATTAGCCATAAAAGTGGATGTGTCAACGGGCACAATTTCCACCATTATGCCTGCCATTAGCCTTGTGCAACGTTAATGCGCAGCCAGGAAATATGGTCATTAAACGTCTGGGGTGGCATAATTGGCAATTTTGTTATATGGCCACATTTTTTCAATGCTATATCAAACGGAAAAGTTTATCTGGATTTTTGAAAAACATTTTACCACCTCTATTAAGACATACCAGAACGTGTAAGAGAGAGAATGTGGATTCTTCCTGATAGAGCTCCTGCACACCACACACAAACAATAAATAATTATTTAAATACTGAATTCCCTCAAAGATGGATAGGACGACAAGGGCTAATATGCAATACAGGATAAGGGATGTTTTTCAGAGCATTAACCAGCAAATGTTGAGAAATGTTGCCGAAACATTTGAAACGTCGGTTGCAGGCCTGTATTGATGCTGGCGGTAGGCACTTTGAACAATTAATTAAGTAGATAGATTTAGTTAGTTACCATTATTGTAATTGTTGCAGAGTTATTATTTTTAATTATTCAGGTTTTTTTAACCACTCAGTGACATATTTTAATAGTTTTTTTTTTGTTTTATTAATAGCATGACTGACGGATGTTTCCCCTAATAATTCAAAAATTATAGTTTTCACTTCTAAAACATATGGGACATCTAAGTAAATACTATATGTGGGTATAGGCAATGCTTAATAAAACTGGAAGAGCACTACGAGAGGCGTTGAATAGAGTTATAACATACAGGGTGTGTGTGATTTAATTTTTTGGAGAAAATTACATCTTTCTGTTTTGACTCACCCTATATGTCTCGAATGAAATATGTACAGAAAAAACGTTGGATATGAATATCCACCACTGTTTCCATCATTCAGTATAATAAAATAGATGTTATCTAGTGTGTTTAAGATACGGGAAGTCAAATGTACAATGATTTTAACGAAAAAGTGTGCTCTACGGACCTTCGTCTTACCTATTAAATAGCTAATTAATTCATCTTCAGATAAGCGCTAAGTAAAAATAACAGTTTTTAAACTTATTATATTGGATATGTACCAAAAAAATTCTATTACAAATTATTCTTTTCTCTGATGACCTCTTTGTAACCATACTCACCACGTATATTAGATCTCCAAGCCTAAAATGATCTTTATCTATAGCTTGGATTTTTTTGTTCATTTCAAAACACAGATTACTAACAAAATGACTTTGCTGCTCGGGAAAGCTTCCAAGGCCAATCACTTTCCACACCTTTGTCCTTTCTTGAAATGAATGTGTTTGAGTAAACAACACTTTCATAGGATATGGTAAATTACGGAATAATCTTCTCAATAAAAATTTTAAAAGCAAAGCCTCAGGTCTATAAGTATTCATTCCAAAATTTAGTTGTTTATAGATTTTTACTAGTTTTTCGATTATCTCCAGTTGAAACTGAGCACTTGTGTTACTAAAATAAAAGAAATCAATAATAAACCTGGATACTATGTTAAACTCACATTAACACTATATCCCACACTTCAACTGCTAATAATGAACAAAATATGTTCTCTTGTAGAACATTTCTCAGAAGAACTTCTTCTGTGTTCAAATACAAGTTGTTCACAACAAGCAGACTTCTGGATACATTTATGACTAGCTTATCATAGACACCTTCATGCTCACTTTTGAAATGTAATTCATAAGTACCTGAAATTATTCCTATAAAGTTCCAGGAAAAACTGTACATGAGACAGAAACAAAGGTTGACATCACTTGTTTGGTGTTTCAGTTTCCAACTGTTTCATGTACCCTTTTTAAGATGATAAAACGATTATCTAAGTATCTGTCTATCTACTTTTGTATGAAGAAATTGTTTGCATCCATACTTACACACACTGACGTAGTGGAATAACAATGTGATGATTTCATTCAATATAACATCTTTTTCCATTTCCATAGTTTGATCAAAGTTTTCCAAAATAAAATTCAAGTAGTTGTTCAAAAATATTATAACACCTAAAGGCGCATCACCACAATTTCTGCAACACTTTAAAATCTAGAACAAGAATCATAGCTAAAACTAAAAACAGCAATTCAAAAAAATTTAACCACTTACATTATCACCATCTAATTCACAGTAGATTTTGGAGGTCAGTTGATCAATTACAACAGTAACATTAGATTTTATTAAATTTATTACATCAGATGAATAACCAAATGTTTCAAATAAACCTGGTTGGTAACTGAAAGAGGAAATTGCAGAAGATGAATATTTGGTATTGCACATTTTATGACACAAAAACTGAGGCAATGAATTGGTTTAAGGTTTGAATATATTATTTGTAAAATATATGTAGATAAACACATGATAATGCTCTAAAGTAAATTCAAAAATAAGTACAACCATGCACCATAAGATAAATACCACAAAAATAATTCATTACCATTTAACTTCTTATAAACACTACCTACCTCAAAACAATAAAACAAAATTGAAGAACTTGATCACAAGTCCTGCCAATATCCCAAAATAAATCTAAGACTTTCAAGACCACTTTAATCAAAAATCCTGTAACAGTCACAATCTTAGATGTAGGTTTTTCATCTGTTGATTCCTGAAAATGTATTTTATGCAAGATGTTCAAAACCATGAGTTTTCTGATTAAACTAAGACTATCGCGAGATAAAAAATTCCCCAAATGGTCAAGCAGACATCACACTCAACAACAACGAATTTGAAATGAATATGACTGAAACTGTGATATTATCATTAGCTTTCAAGCACAATATTTCAAAAATTTCAATATTGTATCAACATGATGCTTCTAAAATTTTATATAATCAGTTTTATATATATATATATATATATATATATAATTAGTTTCTATAAAATATAATATTATGTGAGAAAACACCATGGAAAATGAAGGTTTATCAAGATTTTACTTGGATATCTCAAAACATGACGATGGGCTTTCTTTTTAATGCTTTTCAGATGTCATATAATTATATTTCTAAGTATTTGTTGTTATTGTGTTTTTTTTTTTTGAAAATTAAATGTGCGAAAATTTCTTTTAAAAGCACAATGATTGATCGCATTCCAAATTTTTAAAAACATGTTGAAGTACCTATGTCATCTAGAAACTATGAGAATCGTCTCAAATAAATATAAATATACTAGAATAAATGTTATGCTGAAAGAACTACAATGGTTAAATATCGAAACTTCCTTCACCTACTTGGTTTTCATTTTCATATTCAAGTCGAATAATCTTCTACCAAATCACTTTTGTTGAATTGAACGCACCATAGTTATTCTACTAGAAGGACTATAGACTTTCATTTACAAAATTGTAGTAGTGATATAATGAGAAAGTCAGCATTTCAAAACGGATTGAACCAATTTGATGAATTAAGTAGTGATATCAAGATGTGCGCCAGTATGAAAATGTTCAAGGGGAAATTGAAAAATATTTCATGAAAAACCAGTATATGAAAACATAAATATTATGTGATATACTGTGTAACATGGATATTGTATCATTAATGCTAAATAAATCTAAAACAAACAAACAAAGCAGTCACTTCTATAAATTGTGGCAAGCATAACTATACTACCTTAAATAAAAAGTATGTACTCACAGACATATCTAGAGAAGCAAGATTATGTATTATTTGGTGTGTAAGAGATTTCATAGGCGTTTCTAGGCAAAAAACAGGTTTCAAGCATTCAATAAATTTCACCACTATTGCCAAATAGCCCTTCCAATTATTGGACATAGATTTGAGATTCAGGTCACACAAAGCCAGACTCATTTCACACAATATATCCAGCACTGAAACAAACAAGTCTATCATTTCCAAATACATATTGCAAAAATATATGTTTATACCTTCTGTCAGTATGTCCAATTCTTGATTATTTTCTAATAAATCGGAAACTATACTACATGCCTCCATGAGGTTTAGGAATAGTAAATGAATTTCTTGGGCAAGGTGAAATAATTCCAATAGTTCTATATTGTATGTTTGTTTATAGAGTTCTGTGCTAAAAGTTTAAAACTGTGTTGTTGTTAACTTATTTTTATGTTTAATCAAAAATTAAAATGATATAGAATTGTAAGCATATGAGCCTTTGCTAATATGTAAATTGGTTACAATCTAAAATATACCCATGTACATGATACAGTTAGAATGAAGGGGGTAACAGACACATGTTGTCCATGTTAACCCTCATACTCATATTCTGGTGAGAAATTCCCAAGTTAAAAGTTTGGGCATTGTCACAGAGCACTACTATGAGACTGTATGGAAAACACTAGTCTGTGGCTTCCTTATGTTTTAAATCAAACAGTCCTCCCTGAATTATATTTCTTACCTTTGTCTACAATGGTTAAATGTTGCAAGTAATATTTGAGCACTATGTATTGGTACACTGCTGATTTGCATTATAGAAATTTCTTTTGTAGTCAAGAGAAATTCAAGAATCAATTTTAAAATGCTCATGAACCCATGTGAGATCTATAATGTTGATTTTATGATTAGTAAAGAGGATTAAGTGAAAATTAAACTAACTTGCCTTCAAATTTTCTCTGATCATGCTCAAAATAAAATCATCGTCAGCTGTATCAGACAGTAAAACATTATCATTGTAGATTTTCATTAAAGAAGTTTTTAGTTGTGGTAAGACAATCTGTAATAGTTCCTCATCAATTACTGAAATATCAAAAGTTGGTAGATAGTCTGCAAGCAACTCAAGCTGTCCCAATAGCTTGTTGATCTGCTTTTCCTCTGGTATTGAAATGTAAACTTATCATTAAGGAATTTACGTTAAAATAGGTATTCTTCAAATCTACCAATGGAGGTCTGAACAAAATGCATGTAAAGGATATTAAAATTGATGAAAGTTCGACATTATGTTCCTTGAGAGATGCATCCTTTGTTTCTTTATTTTGAGAGGACATGTTCAATGCCTTGCCTTTGGAAAAATATTAATTGAAAATTAATTTAAAATCATCACTTGTACATCAACCATCAACACTACATAACCTATTTGAATTTGAATGTATAGAATAGCAAAGAAACCATCCGTTAGAGAACTACATAGGACACACAGAACGTACGTTATCCAAGGAAATTTTCACAGTTCTATGCACGTTTTACAGTCCTTTTTTGTAATCCTCTGATTGACAAACTTCAACACTTGACACTTACCCGGTTGTTTTCTGTCATACGTCATTATTTTATGCGTTTGGGAGCGAATGGTTTTATAAACAATAAACAGAAAACAAAAATTATTTGTTGAAACAGGAAATTATTAGAAAATGGTTGATTTAGGAGGTGGTCAAGATGGTCCCATTGAACATGGATTTTCTAACACAGTTTTCATCATACCCGGAATCATCTTTGTGTCTTTATCAGGTAAGTTTTGATTCTTCTTTTTTTCAATGTACCGTTACGTTGCCCCAATTTTAACTGTTGCCTTCATTGAATTAATGTGAGGGAGTTATTAACGTGGGACGTCTGTATATAGTTATGTTGTCTTCATGTCCGTATATACTGAAGCACCTAGTAAGATAGATTGTTTCTCCTCAAGGCACTCTGCTTGTTGGCCAGTTACATTTTTTCCAACCTTCCAGACATCCCCAACTCACTGGACCTTTATTTATTTTATAGAGCTTTCTGCATTCATAGAACATGCATGTATATTGCTGCGAGTTCGCAATTCCCCTTGTGTTCCAGAATTCTACCTGTTTTGCTCTAGCCAAAATGAGGAATGAAGAACATTTATGGAAAAGGATGAACTCATTTTTAACTTATTATTGGAGAAATGTAAACCAATTCTGACTATCATGGCAACTATTTGTTACCAGTTGAGTTCTACTGCTCACATTTTCTCCCTTGGATCCTTTGGAAGCCAATACAGATATGCTTTTTTATTGGGAACTTGAAAAGAAGCATAGCTGTTTATATGTATTCAAGCAGATTGCTTTTTTTAATAGGTATCTATATTCCTTAAATCTTTTGCATCTACAGTTACTAAGAAAACATTTGTTTAATGAGAAGTGGTTCATTTTACACTGAATAAAACCACTTTAGCTTACTATATGGCTCTGTGAAATTATATTTTTCAAACAATACTTCTTGTAAATGTCAGGTGAAGGAGTGCCAAATTAAGAGCAAACAAAATTAACATTCAAAATATCATAGAAGGTTACACTTTCATTTTAAATGTTAAAATGGAACAATTCTGCATTAAACCACTAATAACTACCTATCAGGTGTCATAGATATAAGCTTCAGGTTTTTCTTTGACTTTGAGGCATCTAAAACAAGTAGCCATTACCAAATCGTACTGTTTACTTGCGCTTCAGTGCACAATGCATCCCAGCTCATAGTCGTTCGTTTCCTATACAAATAGTAAATTTTTACCCACAATATTGAGTTTCTTTTGTTGAGCCCAGAATAGGCCTGAAAATCAGAGAACAGGGTGAGAAGTACTAAGACATTCTACTTGCCTCTATATTTTGTATTTATTATTTGGACATTAACCGAGATTCAATTATTGGTTACTGGATTTATGCACCATTCATTTTACTCCAAATCTGAAATTCTTAATACAAAGGGTGCTGTACATGAGGTTCAAGTTATTGATGGTTCCACCAGCATTTATTAAAATGCTATTTCCATTACTGATAAGTACGTAAAGCAATCCGCACTTCCCCGCGGTACCGCTCATCCGCCACCCTCCGCGGTGCGCGGCTTGTGCGTTGTTACCCTTAGGAAACAATTGTGTACTTACCAGACGCGGAGGAGCATCTGTGACATGCATTCCCACAAACTTGCGAAAAATTTGACGTTTCGATGTAAATGTCAAGTCAAGTCATCGTTGGTTGTCGGAGCGGTCCGTGGGACCTTAGCTCTTGAGTCACAGTGTCAGTTTGTAAGTCTGTCAGGTCTGGTAACCCAGAAACCAGACAATTTTAAGGAAAAAAGGGAAGGGAAGGAGAGAAGGAAGAACGAGAGCAAAGGGGAAGAAGAGAATCTTTTAGGATAGGCAGCGTTTAGAGAATGTTAAAATCACTTCACAGATTTTGATATGGCCTAAAAATATTCGATTTTTTCTAAAGATTTTGTCAAAATGCTCCAATTTTGGTTGTTCTAAATTCACGAGTTAATTTTGATTACAGTGCGAGCCACGGCCTTTTGTGCTTGCGAACTTGCTCGACTGTGTAGTCCACTGACTCACGCAACAGAATGTTGCTGTGCGATTCCGCTAGGCTATAGCGCCGCTGCGCCTGTTGCTTAATGTAGTTCTTTAGGTAAGGGACATCCAGGTCTCTATGTAGAGTTTTGTTTTTGTTGAGAAATATGTTTGAGTGTGTTAAATTATTGTGTCTCACTGTTAAGGTAAGGTAAGTTTGTTTATTTACAGACTTCATCTACCATTTTTTTTTAATTACCGGTGGCCGATATACTGTTGAATACATTACGTACGGATGAGACTGGATAAATCGAGAAGTTATCACACAGGTGTATCCCAGCTTGTCAAATCTTCATTTGAAATCGCTTTTATGATAACAAAGCAGAAGAAACCTCATACTATCGGTGAATAATTAATAAAACCATATGTCCTAGATGCCACGCAGATAATTTTAGGAGAAGATGCAGAGCAAGAAATGAAATCTATTTCTCTTTCGAGTAACACAGTCGAGCGTAGAATCGATGACATTGCTGCAGACTTAAAGTCACAAACAATTAACAAAGTAAAATTATCGCCATTTTGGGAGATATCGTTCAAGAAGAGATTTGTACTCCCAATCTTTGACAGCAGGTACTACATCTGAAGATATATTTAATTCAGTATCAAATTTTGTTGAAAAAATGATTTGGATTGGTAGAAACTAATTGGAATTTGCACATATGGCGCGCCTGCAAAACATTGCCACAGAAATTACGCCAGACTTTGGACTCGGCTATAAGGATTATAAATTACATCAAGAGCAGCGCTTTGAACAGTCGGTAACTTACTTTACTTTGCGAGGACCTCCATGCTGATCACAAAGTTCTTCTGTTCCATATAGAAGTACGCAGGCTGTCCAAAGGCAACATGTTGGCTCGCCTTTATGAATTGAAAGAAGAGGTAATTCTTTTTCTTGACTTCTAATACAAACACGATTTCTTGACAATGTTCAAAGATGACACATTTCAAAGGAGGTTGACTTATTTAACTGACATATTTGACTCCTTGAATGAGCAAAACTTGAAACTTCAGGGCAGAAACAACACTATAATAAGCAATTATGATTACATTCAGGGGTTCATATCAAAGTTTCAACTTTGGAATCAAAAAGTGTCTTCTGAAAATGTTATATCTTTTTCGAAGCTATTAATCATAACATACTGGACGCAAATTTAAAAGCTGACATAAAAACTCATTTGCAAGCGCTGGAAGACGAATTTCGCCGATACTATTGGGACAACAATTCAGAGTCTCCAATATGGCACATGACAAGAAATCCATTTGTTGTCAATGTGTCACAATTACCAGAAGAAGTTCAGGAAGAATTTCTAGAAATAAAGGATGATTCGTTCATGAAAGATGACTTCCATCTTTTAGCGTTGGAGAAATTTTGGATCAAAACATTGCCTGTTAATTCGACACCTGCCTATCTTGCTTTACAAATACTAGTTCCTTTTTCTTCAACTTACTTATGGGAGACAGGCTTTTCTGCTCTAGTTTTAATAAAAACTAAACAGCAAAATCGTCTTGATGTCGATAACGCTCTGATGATAGCTCTGGCAAAAACAGAACCTAGAATCAACCAACTGCTACAGAACATGCAATCTCAAGTGTCTCATTAGTACCTACTCTTATTTTATTCAAAATTTTCGATAAAAAAAATTAATTATTAGTTGATTTAAACTTTTAAAGTTTCTTTATTAGAATTAAAATAAAAGTCTTTGTACCTATATAATGTTTTTTTGTATTTATTGAAAAAGTAAAGGGGGGCATGAAAATATAATTTATAGTCCGGGGAGCCTCAACAAAAAAAAGGCTGGGAAACCCTGGTATAGATCATCCCGTCTCGCTTACAATAATGTAACTATCCTGGCAACAGCGCTATAAGATAAAGATGATAAAGTCTAACTTTCTACAATCTACATGAACCTTTAAACAGAAATCTAAGTGTAATTTACGGAAAACTTCCGACCAAATATAAGCTGGGGAGTTCAGGTTCCCAAAAATTATACTGAAGCTTACATCTAGCTAAAATAAAAGGTGGCTTCATATATACCAAGCCAGTTAAATAGAATATAATTACAATATATTTACCTTTGATGTCCTTTCTTGTACCTACTGCTCCTTTTTTTACCACTTGCACATTTATTGTTGCCATTATAAGTTGTGACCGATTAATCCCACTGAAAACAAGTCACCAATGCATGTAGCACAGTTCAGTTTCAATTAGGTGGGTACCTGCCTATCGTCCCATTTATACTCTTACAGGTACGCTACTGGCTCAAACGCTTTTTAATACCCCATTTCGTAGCTCCAGATTTTCTCAACTGTTTTTAAACGTAGAAGCTTCAAATTTGGAAATGGGTTACAAGAAATAGTTTTGTTTTTCGGAAACCATTAGATTCCACAAAAAAAGTTACAGTTTATGAGATATAATGTTTTTTTAACAAAAAATGACTATCAAAAAACAAGTTATTTTCCGATTTAACAATTTTCATCTGATTATTGAGCTGAAAACTACATCAAAATCGGTCAACAATGAAGCAAGATATCTTGGAACTATGTTTGTGGTAAGGTAGAAAGTGCTCTTAATATTCTAGGAAGATTGAGGGCTCAAATAAATTATTCCTTATTTGTCTGCTAGAGTACAGTGATTATGATTTTCGTTTTTACTTTTGACCTCAAAATATTAGACAAGTAAGCTCGATGCAGCTCCATGTAGCTCCATGTCAGACAAAGTAACCAGCTCTGTCGATATAATAATAATAAAACATCTTTATGGGGCGAAGCTTAGCATATATGTTCATTAAATGATTCTGCCAAAATCATCAGCTAGGTTTGTACTCTGTATTATTGGCCATGTTTGGGCGCTCAAGTAAAATATACTCGGCATTTTATATAAAGAATATGAAATCACATGAGTATTAGAATTTTTTTTACATCAAATAAATACCAGAGGTATCAGAAAACGTCTCACTATCAAAACTTGTCAGGATTGAAAATTGCTTGATAGAGATACATAAACTTGGTAAATCTCTAGGTACAAGACAGAAACCAACTTTATTTAATGTTTCCTGTGGTTTTCATACTGACAAATCTCTATGTTTTCTCTGACGACCAAAAGAAACCACATATGTTGGATTGAGTGAATGAATGTTTTGGCCACTCAGGTGGCCTT